GTAGTTATATGACCTGCAAAGTTACCTGAATGGTATTTTTAGCAAGATTAACATTTAAAGATGTTAAAACTAATTATGGAATCTCATTTTCTTTATTCCATGGTATTCCCTGTATTCAAAATTTCCCCCTCGGAATTTCAAGTTCTTAAATCTAATAGTTTCTTCTCATTAAATCTAAATGTAACATAAGGTTAAATATTCAAAACAACGGTGGTGCTCAGGATCTCTTTATCTTAAGGAAATATGGTATTTTTAGTTTTCTAGGTTCTGTCCGAGAGATTCGATAGCAATCTCCCATCCATGAATGTTGCGTCATGTTCGACCTTACGTCATATGACTTTTATTTGTGGGGATATGCTAAAAAGGCCGTTTACATCCCATCTTTATCAGAACCTTTAGCCATCTTTATCAAAACCTCTCTTAATAAATGGAATAAAAGTATTTTTAAAGATGTATGCGTAAAATTTTCGTACAGATGTGAATGTAGAAAAGTAATTTTATTCTTATTTATATTTAGAAAAAAGCGTTCTAAAAGTAACTTACTTGGATGCTGTAATTTATAAAATGCAAGATTGAAACTCAGTTATAGCACGAGCGTATTGCTTACAACTAAGTACATATCTGAAATTTTTATTTTAACCTTGCAGCATGCGTACTTAGTAATTTACCTGAGCGCTCGGGTCATATTTTTTACGACAGATGTTATTTTACCGTTTTTGGCACAAAAAACAACATTAATGAATGGATATTAATAATAATTTTGTGAAGAAATAATCCTATCATGTATAACAATCCAAAGTATGCCATCATTTCCACTATGGAGGTAGCGGTGCAATCTGTATCTCTTAAGCATCTCTTTTGGCAAACTTACATATTTAATCTTACACTCCAAAATTACATTAATGATATTTATGTCAATTATATTTAGAAATGATCCTATTTTATCTTCTATATCTTTGGCTTTAGGACAGGAGACACTTTTACACTATTCCCCTTTTTCGTTATAAAGCAGTTTGAGTACTTAACGTTTCACCACCTAAAAAAATTATCCTTGCCAACATGGAACATGTCATCATAATTTTCTTTCTTAAATTATTATCAACATAATTGCCAGAAATATATTGTTCAGATTCACTACTGGTATCATTTATTTCTATATTTTCCTGGATCCTCGATGATTATCAATCTCAAGTCCAAATGTTTCCTTCCCTTCTTTTTCTTCGTCAGATAATTATCGAAAAAACGGTGAAAAATCACCTGATTGTGTGTATTTTTTGCTATGAAAACCGATATAAAAATTATAGATTTGATTTTATAAAAATTTAAATAATGCACGCCAATTATTAATACAAAATTACAAAGCACATGAAAAAGTGTTTTGTAATATTGTGTTTATAATTTGCGTTAATAATTGTAATTTTGTGTTAATAATTGTCGAATTTTTTTTCCGAATTTTCACCCATGACCACGCGCGAGCCATGACCTTGATTAAAAACAGAAATTGTCGCATGACTGTTGGCACATTCCATGATTTGGGGAAGATTTGAAAGGAGGAATGGAAATGCAAGGAATGGAGTTCTTATGCAGCTGCAATATGCAAAATAAATTCCATTAAAAGCCGAATTTGTCGTAAAATTAGGGCAGTTGCGAGTGCTGGGAAGTTAAATTGAAAATAATTTAAGATGCTAAATTTAAACTAACATACGTAGTTTATAGCCATAAGAATTACTATGCGACTTAAATATTTGATGCCAGCTTACGTGACATAATTTTTTCTATTTTTAACTTTCATCGATATTTTTATTTTAAAGATGAACTTAACTGTAATGACTCATAGGTAATTTGATGCAATTGCAAATTCTGCGTAGAAAATAATGTTATTCCTTAAATTTCTTTGAAAGAATTAGAAAAAGAGAATATTTGTAGTGGTAGTTACGCCACATTAGAAAGGAATTTTTGTTTGTGAGAATGCATTCATTTCTTTCACATTAAAAAAAAGTTGATATCTTTTAGACATTTCGTCCTGTTGTTGGGCATAATATATTTCTTGAATTCCCTTTTCTTGTTTTAAATTTTGCCTAAACCTATAAAAAAATACAAGGTGAATATCTATTCTTCGTACAGGTTCAAAAAAATTAACAATTAATAATTCATTTTAAATCATGAACAAAACTGAAAAACATGTACCGACACAAATAATTCAATTTTTTAATTATTTATTTATTTTCCTTGTCAGGGGCTTTACTTTATTAGATTAAGCGAAACACGTTTTCAGAAGTATTCAGTACCATTTAGCATAATACTATTGCTCGAGTCCAACTCATGATAGTCACAATATACCATAATCAAACAATTCTCTCCGTTAATTATTTCTTTCGGGGACCGTAAAAACCATCTTTCCATGACATTTAATTAGGTACAAAGTATACTAATTTTGCATGTACTAAAATTTTTGAAACCTAATAAAACTGCACCAATTACCATAATACCAGTATAGCTAATTATCAAAATTAATTAAGCATCATTGGCTACATTAACAGAATGCTGTTTTTCCTTTAGTTTTTCCTAAACAAATTAATTTTGCTTCTTTGCTTATCAATATATAACTTATTATTTTTATTTTAATTACACTAGATATTATATAATTTTTTTATTAAATTAATTTTAATCACATTAGTTTTTTATTAAATTAGATACTAATTAATTAGCTTAAATCGCAGCTATAAACAAAATAAACAAATAAGTTTAGAAATACTAATTTAGTGACGTTCATTGAATTTATCTGACAAAAATAACAAAATATAAAATTTCGTACAATACTCTCCTTTTTTTAATTAAATAGAATTTTTATCTAGCAAACATCACTGATGTTATATTTTTAATGTTTAAAAAAAATAGAATCATCAATAGTTAAATTTAAAACAACCGTTACCTCTTAAACAATCAGAAATTCCCATTTAAATTTTTGCTCATACCACTCGAACGGTTCATAGTAGAAATCTCTAATGTCGTCAATGACCTTTCCTGTGCTTCGAACTACCAGTATGCCAAATTGCATCGTTCTCGGCCGAATGTTTTCGGAGTCTACAAGGGACACACATTTATATATATATATATATATACATAGATGAACGTTTACTTCTATAAATTACAGTTTTTTAGTGTTGCGTAATTTTTATTTATTTTGCTCCCTATGCAACAACGTGTTGTTTTACTCTTTTTTAGCATGTTCTATTTTTTAGCATCAGTTTTAAGAACTGAAATAGACTTCTCTGAATAATTCATTTATTTTTTTCATAAAAATTCCTTCATAATAAAATTAAACGCCAGTCCTAAATCATTTTTGTAAATAATATCAACAAAAAATAAAACAAATACGAATTCTATTTGTGAAATCTTGAGTGGATAATTTTTTTTTATCTAAAAATTAGCCAGCTACTACACATTTAATAACATATGTAAGATTTCAATATTCATTTCGCGAAGAAAAATTAGTTCGTAGAAATTAATCTTTCTGATACTACTTGAGCTTTTTTTCAGTACTTATTTTTATATAAATTGTTCCTTGCCAACAGCGTAACATTAAAGTTGAAGCAAAAAAGAAATTTCTGATGCTCTTATTTTAACAATTCTTTTTTCAACATTGCTTTGAGCCGAAAGAAAAAATATAATCTGAAGTAAAATAAAGATTTTTTAAGTAAGACACATAAGCATCCTTGTTATTTAAAACTTTTCCAGCAATTCTTATTTCTTTCTCAATCAATTTTTAGTTCCTTTACAGAAGAAAAAAGTTATTACTTAGCAACTTTGTACAGTTATCGTCTGAAAAAACAGAGAAAGACGATATTTCTTTTGTGTTCTTTTTAAGTTTCAAATTTCTCAATCTAAATCGTTTTCAGCTTCATAGCCTTAAAAATAATTGATTTTGCTCTGCACTTTTAAGTAAATCTTTTACTTTGATTAAAATTCTGGAAGAGTTTTTTTTCTCTTATAACTTTATCTCATTCATTTTCATTTTTTAATTTTTATTCCAAATAGAATAAACTCTGGCATTTCGTCAGGCTTTTTTGTTCAGTGTATTGATTTCAATGACCTTCAAAATAATAGCTATACTGCGCTCTTGCATTTACAAGAAGCATTTAAAATAATTTGATAAATATAAAATGCAGCTTTCGTCTTATTTTTTGGATTCCACTAAATAAAAAACATAATTAATCATATTTAGTGAAAATAAAATATTTTTGTCTGCAATGTTATACTAATAAAATTATCGTTTGGATAAGTAAAAACAATTAAATGATTGAAAATTTAATGCAAAAGTCACAAACACTGATAAGAGTATTTTAAAAAAATATTTTATTAAATTGTAATAGTTATCTTTCTGAAAAAAATAGGTAAAATAATGACATTTCGTCTGAATTATTTTAAGTTTGAAATTTTTAATCCAAAATCATTTTTATTTTCGTAGCTCTAAAAATAATTGCTTTTGGTTCCGCTTTGCATTGCTAAGCAAACCTTTTACATTGATTGAAATTTTGAATGAGTTTTTGGTTGTCTATAATGTATGCATTTTTTATAAATCAAGGCATGACATTTTGAGAATTTTTATAGTTCTCTGTATTGATATTTTAATGACTTTCAAACACTGAACTCTCCTTTTAATCGCATTTTAAAATAAGAAGCTGAAAAATTATTTTAAAGAAATAAATATATAGGTATTTTACTTAATTACTCCTAAATGTTTTTTCATAACCTAAAATTTAATTCAGTGCGAGTGTAATAAAATATAAAATTACATTTATACAATTTATCTTTTTTCTTATTAGAAATAAGATTCCAAAATGGTTTTATTTTTTTAAAAAATGATACCAACAGTTTCTATGTAAATAGATATAGATACATATTTTTTTATATCCAAAATTATTTGATAGTTAATTTTTTCATTTAATATGTTTCTAATGTAATGCTAATTATTATTATTTGTTTTTTTTTCTTTTCAGATGATCTTAAACCTAAACCACCATCTGTTTCAGGTAAGATGGCACATTTAATTATTTTTCGAATGTAAAAACTCCATGAAAGAGTTTCAATGGATGTACGAGTCATCAACGTTCTATATACTGACACAGAATAAGACACCCAAAAGAATTAAAAATAGATATATTGGAATTAAATTTCCCAATAACATCATTTTTCTTTTTGAGATGGTCTTAAGCCATCATTTATTTCTCGTAATGATACATAATTGTCTTACGCGTGTAAAATTCTTATGCTGTGGTTGTGAGAAACATTAAACTTGTTTATTTTAAATATGATTTTTTTTAATGGCGGGCACTTGGGATGTATTTTGCTATTGGCCTTATATGCCAGGACTGCTACTCTCTTCTCGTTACCCAGTGGGCACCTGTGCAGAAGCCATGGCGGTGGAGCAGCGTCGCCCACGTCACACAACCACAAACACGTTTATAGAGCGGGTCACATTCACACAATCACACACACAAAGGATCGAGAGAGGACATAGAACACAGAGAGAGAGAGAAAGAAACATCCATGCCTTGAGCGAGATTCGAACCGGCAACCATCAACTCCACAGTCAGGCACGCTAACCACTCGGCCACCTGGTCGGCATTTTAACTATGAATAGAATGCAAAATTGTTTTACGCGTCTAAGATTCTTATACAGTGGATTTCAGAAACGTAGAACTTTTTGTTTTAACGAATACAAAATTGTTTTACGCATGTGAAATCTGGTACTTTTCATTTTTTAATACTTTTCATTTTTACATTTTTTGGTGAAAAGTCGTCAAAAAGGGCAGACCTCCACCAATTATTTTTCAATTTTATTTATTTTTTGAAAAGATAAGATTAAATAAAATAAAGAATTAAATAAACTATAAAAAAAAAATAGTTGAATTTCCCTGCGACTAGCTGGCCGAAAAGTATCATACATCCTTATACTAGGAATTACGAAAAAGCAAATTTGTCTATTTTAAGATTAAATAAAATATCCAAAATCGTAAAGAAAATAACATTTGGAGTTACTTACTCGTAATGAATTCGTTTAATTTTACGAGAACGGAGCATTTTACATCTAGTCGTTCATGTATTTGACGCCCGGTGGCTGGGCGATAGCGCTTCGCGCTGTAGTGCCACAGGTCCCTGGTTCGATCCTCGAGTCGGGCAAGGTTGACTCAGCCTTTCATCCCTTCAGTGAGTTGATAAAATGAGTACCAAGCATGCTTGGGAACTAAACACTGGGGGTTCCACGTTCGGTTGACCACCTGACCGGAACATCTGCTCCTGCACCCCAGAGAACAAGGTCAAGAAAACTGAAATGAGCACAGTAGGCCTTGGCCCTCTATGGGCTGTCGCGCCGCTGAGTTTAGAGTTCGTTCATGTATTTTTGGGAACAATGATCTTTAAAAGTAACAATGCATCATGATTATAAGCATAAAATGTGCCGATTATTTTAAAAATTTAATTGCATAGTTTCAGAAAAATATAATTTAGGTGAAATATATTACAAAAGAAAACAATTTTATGAAAAATAAACACTATTACTTTGATGATGCCGTATTACAAAAAAAGAAGAAAAAACAATTAATTATTAATAGCAAATTAAAATGAGACGCATGAGCAATGCAGTTTTCTCCAACTATAAGAAACAAAATGGAAATGTTGGGTAAAAACTTGAATATGAAAAAAAAACGAGCTATCTGGAATTGATTGAAAAAATAAAATTGGAAAGGATTTTCAATGGAAACATCGTGCTTTGGGAGAATATATATACGAACATGATGATTTTTTTCAAGAAAATTTACTAATGATTTTCACGCTTAAAAAATTTATTACGTTATGAACTATGCAAAAAGCGGTCTTAAGAAAATATGTTTGTTTTTTTTACACCAGTCGACCTAATTTGGATACTACATTTTTCACGAATAATCAAAATTATTAAAAATTTGATTCACGAAACACTAATTTGTGCTAATTCCAGAACATTTTGAAACCTCAGTCGTTCGTAATTGATAGTTATCTTTTTCATGAATATTTAAAATTAAGATTGGTTTTATTTACTTAAGTTTGAATTTTGCAAAATGTTGAATCAAAAATTTAAACAGTTGAACAAGCAGAGTTTAAAACACTATAAAGCATATAGTCTTTGATTAATTGATAATTATATTTCCATGAATATTAATAACAATTTAATTTGTTAAATTCTAAATAAGGCAGAGCTTTGATTCTTAAATTTGAAAGATTTAATCTTACACCAATTTATTATTTTTTTAAATCTAAAATCCGTTCACGTTTATAAAAATAAATAACTTGAAAACAATTATACGCAGAAATTATTTTTGTTTTGAAAAATTTAAAATGAAAATATTTGTAGTTTATTTCAGAAACAGAAATTCACAAAAACAAAATGCAAGTACTATAAACTTTTTTGTTTCCTACGTGTATCAACGAAACTAATTAGAGAGAATTGCTTATTGTATAAAAACAACAGTTTTTCTTTTAAAAAAAATACAAATATATAAAGAACAATGTGTTTATTAGTAAAACCATTTTAAATAATCATGGAGCGTTATGTTTCTTTGAATAACATTATTTTAAATTCATGTCACTGAACTCGAGATGTCTTAATTTTAATCTCTGCTGTCAAACGCTTGAAACAAATTGAGTTGATTTGAAAACAAAAGCTTTAATTAACAATCGTTGTTCACTTAAAAAGAAAAAAAAAGTTTTTTTAAGCTATGGCAACATTTTCTTTTGCTAATTTACATATCGATGTAAAATAAAAAATAAAAATTCAACGTTATAAATGGGCATTTGATTACTAATTATGTTTCCATAAATAATAAATAACAAAAAACATGCTTAATAATAACGGTTTTATTGTGTTTTTTATCATACAACCTTGAATGCAGCTGAGTTAGTTTTTTTTTCGTTTTCAATTTATTGTGAATCTTAAAGTGTAAACAGTTCGTTAATAACAAAATTAATTATACATTAATTGCACATTACCTTATGATTAATTACACATCACCTCATGAATGTAATTAAAAAGTTAAAAGTTGAAAATATAAAAGAAAGTTCATAATGGATGAAAGCTGTGAATCACACGGTAAAACTTAATTTTTTCTATGTTGTTTCGTTAAATTATCGAATGCACAAATTTTATTTAGTATAATTCTTATTATTTATTTTATTTTTTAATTATTGGATTTTTTAAATAATCTATATTTTACGAAATCTTTGTTTTCTTGCTTAGTTTTTATAATTGTCTCTTAATTCATTTTCATTCTTAAGTAAACAAAATAAAACTCTTAATAAATTTTACTTTGGACAACCTTTGGGAAATGAATCGGGATTTGTTAATAAGTTCTATGACTTAAACTCACAAGCGCAGTTTAAGATTATTTTAGGGGGCATAAATTTTAAGTGCATTTTAATTATCAATTCCCACAAATATAAAAGCATAACTAATATTTTTTTTACCTTTCTTTGCGAATTATTGGTATCATTAAATAAATTTTTTATTAAAGAACGAGTAACTATTCACATTTGAACAGCATTTATGAACTTATAGTTTTTTAACGTCCATATCACAAAAATTTCACAGACATTTTTTTTTTAAAATTCGTTTTATCGGATCACTCTTAATTCATACAGTTTTTTCAATATGAATTTTTGTATACATTCGCAATTTTTATATGCAATTTTATATACAATTTTTATATACAATCGTCAAACTACTGACATTTCAAAGAACTTAAGCTAAATGATATTAATATTTAACCTGACAATAATTGGCTGGGATAGCCTGGTTAGCAGGGCGCTGTACCATAACCACCTAGAGTAGAGTAGTGACCTTCTAGTAGGTGTTGACTGTACTCACGTTTGTAAGAACGGTTGTTCGAAACCAGCCGGCCGAAGACTCCCCGTGGAGTAATTGGTGACTGGTACACGTTAAATCTGTCGGGTCACTAAGTCCTCCATGTTCACATAACAAATCAATACCTCAGAGGGTACTGAATTGAAGATTGATTGTTCTCAATACAAAATAAGGTCAAAAGTCAAGGTTCTGGTTAAAATTACGATTTGTGGAAGAATGGATAATATGGAAGAATGGAATGATATAAATAACTATTAAAATGGGTCCACCCTATAAACGGGTGTGACGATTGGATGTATCAGAAGTCGAATTCTTGGCCATAGATAGCGTCACTGAAAAACAAGAACAATCTCACCCCCTCTGCCTTAATGGCCAAAAACAACAACCTGACAATAATCATCTGTTTTTGTGCTACAGATTTATTTTTAAACGCGACTGTCACGTGACATAAATTCCGCGTTTAATTGTTTCTAGAGGTATGAGTGCAAAAAGTTAAGAAAATATATATATAAATAAATAATTATATAATTAAATAAATATATAAATAAATAAATATATAAATAAAAATTTATATAAAAAGTAACACCCTGAATGACTTTTGATCTAATGTTTGGGGTTTCACGCACTAGGACTCAAGTTTAATAGTTCACAGGACTGACTAGCAACCTCAATTAGGCTTATCAATAAGAGCACACGATATCTTAAATTACGAAATCAGACACAAAATCGTATTTTTTCAGAATAAAATAACCATATGTTTTTTGACAGATTTGTATTATTTACCATTGATTGTGCCAAATCTGTGAAGTATGCTCCCAGTTCTTAAGAATGATTACTGAATTGTATAGTTTCTGAATTCTTAAAAATCAATATTAAAAATATCGTATAAATAAAATTTTAAGTTAGAGTCCTAGTATTTTTGTCTCGAATTTTGTATTTTTAAGTATCATTTGCACTATTTAATTTAATCAGCGTATTTTATTTCGCCCCTCCCTGAACCATTAAATTTGAGTCCTAGAACGATAAAAACCGCTTAATTATATCAAAAGTTATTATGAGTGTTTCGTTTAATTTATTTATTTAATTTTTTTATGCGCACTGTACACCACATCATAAGAATCTGTTTAATTTCCGAGA